CCCTAAACCCTAAGTCCCTAAACCCCCTAAACCCCCTAAACCCTAAAACCCCTAAACCCTAAAACCCCTAAACCCTAAACCCCTAAACCCCTGAACCCTAAACCCAGAACAACTCAAGGGCCGGAAAAAGCTTTGAGAAGAAGCAGAGCAGTCGGTCGAACCTGAGCCCTCATGGCCAGGGCAAAGAGTTGCTCCCGGATTGCATCAGTCACCCAAAGGGTCCAAGTACTATTTTGGTAGCTACTTAGTAGATATTTGGGCCCCCAAAACATAGACTGTACTATTACTTGGACCCTTGGGGTCAGAGGCTGCACATATGGCCCTGCATTACTTTAAAAGGATCCTAAACTATGGCAGTTATGGTACATGTTTAATCATATGGGTAATGCAGGTTTTATATCGCCAACCGTAGTAGGTATTTATGGTCTAATCGAGGGTAGAAGGAGGGCCTAGGTAAGGATAGGGTTTCGGGTTTAGGGTGTTGCAATTGCACATAGGACCAAGCATAGCCCTACTTGCTGAGTCCCGTCTGAAGTACTCCTCAAATCCTAGACCCCAAACCGCTGAAGCCCTAAACCCCAAGCCATTGAAACCCTAAGCTCTCAACCACGAACTACTGAAATCCGAAACCCTAGACCCTAAAGCCCTAAACCCTAAACCCTAAACCCTAAACCCTAAAACCCTAAACCCTACTAATGAGGCGCATGAGCCATTAAGTAGGTGCAGGATGTTGGTCCGATCGTTCCAAAAAGTAGCCGCTGAGCCACACTTAGGGAGTAGAAGTTTAGGGTTTAGGGTTTGAGGGTCTAGGGTTTACGGATTAGGAGTTTAGGGTTTAGGGCTGGTGGCTTCAGGTTTTGGGATGTAGGATGCATGGTGTTAGGGCTGAGGGCTTAGGGTTTAGGGGCTGAGGGTTCAGAGTTTGGGTCTATGGCTTAGGACACCTTTCCTATATGCCCTCTCAGGCTTCAGGTACTTATATAATCTATAGTGGGGTATACATGGTGAATGGGAACCTCGTCAGGTATCTGCACAATGTCCTTCATCAGTGGGCGCTGACGCCGTGTCCTGGCTCCCTCAGGGGTCTGTCAGTACCATACGGATCTTGGGTGTAAAACCCGTCTCTTTGAGGGCCCTAGTATTGGGTTGCCTATCTTCATCCCGAGAGAACTGGGGTCATTATAACGGGCTTGACATTACTATGAAGTGTTCGCTTGTTGGGTTGCGAAGCCCGCAGCTTTAGAGCGACGTTGATTGTTTTCCTGCTTTCGGGAGTGCTATAAGATCATTAGGGGTCCTATACTACACAGCCATTGTTCCTTGTAGCTCATTTCAACGAAACCTTAAAGGAACCCTCGTCTACATGCATTCAGGGCTTATGACGACTCTATTCCGGGTGTGGATCTCTACGACGAGCAGCCCTTGAATCCGAAAGTATGTTGGTGTGGTCGTCTGAACCCTAAACCCTACCCTAAGGCTCTAAGGACTCATATGTTAAGGCTTTTGGGCCCTAAGACCATACCATATAAGGCTTTTGGGCTATTTTCAGCCTCAGGGCTAAACCCCTTAAGCCCCTATACCCTATCAGGGAGAAGGCTGCGCCGAAGACTCTGCGAGCGTGGGTTGTAGTCCGCCGTTGACGTTGTGCGGTTCGAGGCTAGGCACAAAATATCGGGGCCTGAATACGTAATTAGAACAAGGTTTCGGAGCCCCAAAATACTATAGATATAAGAAGGAACCCTCACAACCAGTATTTGGTACTTATTTAGGCCCCTACATGAGATTCATGTGTTCGGTCTTGAGGATTGTGGGGCCCCTTTAGGTTCAAGCAGCAGACAACCACCTGTCAACGGTGCTGAGGCACAGCCTGCAGTTTCGGGAGGGTTTAGGGTTTAGGGTTTAGGGTACCCTAAACCCTAAACCCTGAACCCTAAACCCTAAACCCTAAACCCTAAACCCTAAACCCAACTCAACCCCCAAGGAAGGAACGGTCCTTAAATGACATTAAGGACTTTGCCGGGTTTCTTCGAATTCCTTAATCCAGGCATGTTGGAACGTCTGGATGCCAAGTACCCCCTACACCCACAATCCTAACCTCTAAACTGTAAACCCTACAACCCCAAACCCCGAAAGAAACCCTCGAGAGGCCAAAACAATTGCCAATACTATGTCGGGCGGTGCCTTATTATAACTAGCATTTCTAGGGTCCTGAGTAGTACCCTTTTGCCCTTGTATTGCATGGCGCCGTTAATAAAACCCGAACAGCGGGCAAAAGGGTACCCTTATTATTAAGGGATCACCCAGGAACCTAGGTAATTATACCCAAAACTCTCTTGTAATTATGAAGGCCCTTACATTAACCCTAGACCCTGAGGAATGTGATCACCTTCAGTTCTGCTCTGAGTGCATGCGAGAAGGGCGGCCAGTGGGCTCAGGCGTTTGTTCCCCGGTTTGGGGCTTGGGGGTTTGGCGTTTTGTGTTTGGGGTGTGGGGTGAATATAGAGTTTAGGGCTTAGGGCTTAGAGTTTCAGACATTGGTTTCATACCTTAAACCCTAAGCCCTAAACCCCTAAACCCCCCAAGCCGTTAACCCCGAAGCCCTGTACCCTCAACTCTGATATGTCCTCCTATACCACAAGCCCAAAGAGACTCAAGATCCCACACCCCAGCAAAGGGTTCTACGACGGGTAAGTCGGGCTCCGCTAAAGGGTTCTATGGTTGAGGGTTTAGGGTTTAGGGCGGTTTATGGTGTAGGGTTTACTATACGCCCAAACCTCCAAGCCCCCAAACCCCTAATCCCCGCAAAAGCCCACAGTTCCCAAGATCTCGGCTTGTCGTCTATAAGAGCTCTGCGCCCTAAACCTTGAACAGAGCTTGTAAAGAGAGAACCGTGCTAGGAAACCTTCAAGGACAACTTGCCCAGACGTAAGCCCTAAACCCTAAACCCTAAATCCTCAACCCTAAACCCTCAACCCTAAACCCTAAACCCTAAACCTAAGTCCACAGGCCGTCGGCTTGGTGCGCGACATGACGGAGCAGCAGGTGGGTAGCCCTCTGAATTAGGGTCCCCTTTACCCATAGGCCCCATAGTAGTTCCTTTTTTGGGGTTTAGGATTTAGGGTATAGGGATTAGGGTTTAGGGTTCCGTTTTGGAGTTCATATTTAGAATTATTTAGAATCCTATAAGGTAATCCCAAAAAGGAACTACTATGGGGCCTGTGGGTAGTTCTCTAAATTAGGGTCCCCTTTGAAGTCCTTTTTTATACTGGGTGCCGAACTTGATTGGGGTACCCGAAAAGGGACCCTAATTTAGACAATTCTACCCAGGTGCAGGGTAACATCATCTCTTGCAGCGCCGCCATCAGCGCATGCGAGACTGCAGGCACTGGGGTTCTGAGTTCTGAGGTCTACGGGTTTAGGGTTTAAGGTGTAGGGGTTGTTAGGGTTTAGGGTTTAGGGTTTAGGGGTTTAGGGTTTAGTGTTTAGATAGAAAGGGAGCTACCCATAGGCCCATAGTAGTTCCTTCCTGGGATTACCTTCTAGGATTCGAAATATGAACCCCAAAAAGGAGCTACTATGGGGCCTAGGGGTAGACCCGTAAATGTAGTCCCTTGTTTTATGGCAAGGCGACCATATCAAAGTACTACATGTCATGATCTAGGTATTATTGAACAGGGATATCGATAGTTAGGAAGCATACCAGTATTGATGGCAATGCACCAGAATCCAGCAACATACTTGGCGATAGGTACATCAGAAACATTGCAAGTCGTTTTCACTCTCACTCATCTTCGTCTTTATCTCCACCATCACCGTGCTCAACCGCGGAACCAGTGAAGTGCGTGCTTATATCTCCTGGGCGCAGACAGTCTTTGGAGAAGCGTGGATTGTTTTGCACATGCCAAAAGGATGGCTGATGCCTGTCTTGATCGTGAGCCCTGAATCCAAGCAGGTGATGCAGCGGCGAGGGAAAAAACACCCCAATGCCCACCCAGACCCTCAAGTGACAGCAGAAGTAGAACTGCACCGGCGAGACTTGAACCCTGAATCCTTGCTGTTCTACAGACAGGAAGTTGTCAAAGCGCCCGAATACCCAGCATTTCTATGTTCGGTGAGGGCAACATGTGTATTGTTATTGATGTTGGCAATATTATCCAGATAGTTGGTAGCATTGGTTATCGTAATGCTCGTTAGTGTTTGCTAAGAATGCTTTCTGTGTACATACATACATGCATGCATACATGTACACATGAAATAAGAGTTTGTTTTAGTGTTTGTGTGTGTATGTGTATATATATATATATATGACATGGCGACGGGCTGCTATTGTGTACTTGGGATATCGCATAGTAAAACCCCACTCTGTAAAAAAAAGGCTGATCGATAGATGGACTGACTGACTGACTGACTGACTGACTGACTGACTGACTGACTGACTGACTGACTGACTGACTGACTGACTGACTGAAAGACGGATAGATCGATAGATAGCTAGATAGGTAGGTACATAGATCGATCGATAGATAGATAGATAGATAGATAGATAGACACATAGATCGAAATCTAGAAAGATGGATACACAGATAGACAGATGTTTGGGCCGAGGGCTCCGGGGACTTAGGATGTCTCCATCTGGATTAGATTCACCCTAGACCCTAAACCCTAAACCCTGAACCCTAAACTGATTAGATTCGACATGCTCCGGCTCTTAAGGCGCTCTAAGAGAATGAACCTTGCAATCCTACTTGGACCCAGCGGACTTAGTTTAGGGGTTAGGGGTTAGGGGTTAGGGGTTAGGGGTTAGGGGTTTAGGGTCAGGAGTTACCCCAATTATAACCCGACTTATAACCGAGTTACTAAGTCCCCTAGGCTAGGCCTCTAAGTACGCCCCAAAGAAAACCCTAAACCCGAAACCCCAGATACGCTGCGCCCTATGAGGTGGATGGCAACACGCACTTGCCTTGTTCGAGGAAGCTGCAGAGGAGTTCGCACTACTGGATCTATTTCGGGTTTAGGGTTTACAGTTCGGTGTGGGGTTGATCGGGTTTTCACTCACACGCACACACATTTTTTGGTTTTCACTCCGCGCAGTCAGCCAACCGTGAACCGTCTGCAACAACAGCAATGCTAGATGTTTGCGGCCGCCACTGTCGTCATCACCACCAGGACCAGCCCTGTCGTCAACCATGCCAAAATGAGAGTGCATCCGCACGAGCTTCAATGTTTTAACAGGTGGGTTGCAAGGTGACGGTTGTGGCTCATGTGTTACTTAGTCAGCAATTCTGGTCAACATTGTAGTCTACACTGGACCGTTATTTTGCCGAGATCGTCAGGTTCACCCTAAACCCTAAGCCAAGGCCCCTAAACCCTAAACCCTAACCCCTAAACCTAAAACCCTAAACCCTAAACCCTAAACCCCAAACCCCAAACCCCAAACCCCAAACCCTAAGCCCTAGCCCCTAAACCCTAAACCCTAACCCCTAAACCTAAAACCCTGAACCCTTTTCTCTAAATCCCCAAACCCTGAATGTCAGGCATCAGGGGATGGAGCTACGGAAGGGCCAAGATGACCCGAAGTTGGGCCGTTCTAGCCTGCTCAGCCAGATGTCTGACGGTGACCTCATATAACTGTTTAGGGTTTACTCATAAAATTGTTTAGGGTTTAGGGTTTAGGGCTTTGGGTTTAGGGTTTAGGGTTCAGGGATAGGACCCTTTTAAGACAATCAGTACAAGAACTGGGTTCTGGAGTGCCATCCTTGAATACTTTTTTTTTGGGGGGACCTGTTCCTTAAGGGAACCATTCTGAACTTTAAGGTCCGCTACTTACGAATATGTTTAGATTCAGAGATGCTCTAGCTGACCTCACCGTTCTCTAATATACAATCACTGGGAGCATTTTTGGAAGTCCATAGTAGAACAATAAGAAGTTAAAACCTGACGGTTTTTGTATATCAACAAGAAGTTTATCTTAGTACCATTCCTCTTCTTGTCAGAGCCATGGAGGACACCAACCTCAACATACAACATGGTAATAAACTCTAGCACTCCTTCTACATCCTGGAGGACACCAACATTGTTGCATACAATGCCACCATCAGTGCCTGTGAGAAAGCAAGTCGCTGGCAAGACGCGGTGCAGCTGTTTGAGGCACGGCGAGCCTCCCGAATCCCACAGATTGCAGAGTGGGGGGGGGGGGTACTTTATGTTGATCATGGATATTCACGAAGAGAAACAAAGGCGTGAAGTAGTTAGGACAGGAACCAAGGTGCCCCTGCAGACAAGCGGCCGAGAGCCTCCGAACGCCTACCTATAGTCTAGTTCTGGCCATAATTCGTAAATCTAGACACGAAGGCCCACCCCGAGGCACGACAGCATCGACGATAAAGACCTTGTTTGATTTTGCCACCTGAACACTAAACCCGCCTACCACTAGCAAAAACAGTGCACCTGGAATGCTAGTTCCTAAAACCCTAAGGGTCCATGTGCCCAAATACTATATACTTTGGCCTTAAAGTAGTCCCTAGATAGGTACTTTGGGGCCAATGTATATACTATATGAGTAAACCCTAAGCCCTAAGCCCTAAGCCCTAAGCCCTAAGCCCTAAGCCCGAAAAACCCTAAAATACATGGACCCTTAGGGAAACCTTCAATCTAACCCGAAGGCCTCGACAGACAGCCCCGAAGCACGAAAACAAGAACCACGAAGGACAATTAGGGTTTAGGGTTTAGGGTTTAGGGTTTAGATCCTCTACGTACACAAATGACACTTCCAAATGGCGAAGGTATAAGTCGTGCGCATGGCTAGTTCCACTCCAAGCAGTCGCAAAGCTTGCTATACTTCGAAGCGTGGGGGACTTCGCAGCTAGGTGCTAAGCAGAGCCATCAGCTTATTATAAGCGACGTAAGATTCCCCCTGCTGCAGCTACCCATAGGCCCCATAGTAGTTCCTTATGGGATTATATACCTCATAGGATTCTAAATATGAACCCCCAAAAAGGAACTACTATGGGGCCTATGGGTATGCCTGCCTCTACATGTAAGCTACTAGCACGCCCGGCATCTTCGAGTTTCCTCCAACACGTGCGCGCGAAGAGGTTGAGGTGGATTCCGTTTCCCTAAAGATCGAACTACTAACCCTAAACCCTAAACCCTAAACCTCCAAACCCCAAACCCCTAAAACTCCAAACCTCATTATTTAAGGACTTTGGGGCCTTTATGGGTAGCGAAAACCAGAAGTGAGGACTACTTGAACCCTTGGGGTTTGGTAAGCCTTGCAAGCAACGCATAGGCCACAGCCTCAACCCGAAGTCCTATAACCTAAAACCCTGAAGCCTAAACCACAGCATACACCGAGACCCTAAACCCCAAACCTGAAACCCCAAACCCTGAATCCTAAATCCTAAATCCTAAACCCTAAACCCTAAACCCCAAACCCGAAACCCCAAACCCCAAACCCTAAATCCTAAACCCTAAACTCTAAGCCCTGAACCTACACACTAAACCTTCAACCCTAGACCCCAAAGTTGCCCTTTAGAGCAGTTCCCATTGCTCACTCCTCCTCGGCTCCAGAATCCAGCTTCGAGAGGTTATTGTGGCTTCTAGGTTGCAAAATCGGTCAGTTTTCAGTCGAGAAGGAACCCTAAACCCTAAACCCCTAAACCTTACAACCGAAAACGACGGCTTTCTGTCTCGAGGAAGCCCAGCTGCAGCAGCTTCGAACCAACGTGCCTCTCGACAGCTGGATTTTACGGTTTTGGGGTTTGGGGTTTTGGTTAGTTTAGGGGTTCAGGTTTTGGGTTTCAGGTTTCGGGGTTTAGGGTTTTGGTTTAGGGTTTCAGGTTTTGTGGTTTAGGGTTTCGGTTTAGGGTTTCAGGGTTTGGGGTTTGGGGTTTTGGTTCAGCGGTTCAGCTAGTGCTTGGCAGACAGCCTGTTTAGGGTTAAGGGTTTAGGGTTNNTTTAGGGGTTTAGGGTTCGGGTTTGGTAGTAAGGATTGAATAGAATGGTTCCATAAGGGCGCAGTAGGGCTTCAGCGGTCGAGAGATACGGCCAGAGGGTCTTAGCTCCAAAGGTCCTAAGTAATTTAGGGCCGTAAACCCTAAACCCTA